AATACTCATTCTTTTCTACGATAGCAATTTCCAAGAGTAATGTTATAACAAAACGGCGATTACTTAATATTCTTATCATTATGAACTGCAGGTAAACCTCCTGTAACAGGAACGTGTACGGACTGTGTTGTTAGGTTGTCACACCTGTGGTAGTGTAAAGCACTGCAGCCCCTTATGTCGCCACCACCCACCTCTCTCTTTGGTGATCTTCTCTGGGTCTGAGAGGTCCATTATCTCGTTACCAGCTTCTTCCTCGTTTGAATCCGGTACCTTCTGACGAGATTTTTGCTTCTTATCTGCTGAAATACGACAAGAACGTTTCAGAGCAAGAATGTTACTCCTCAGGTGAGACATGGCAAAACTAAGTTTATGTTGTAATTAATCTTTCTTAAACAATGATGATCTCATGTGTGTTGATGGAGACGAAAATTTGGCGACTACTAATTTCTCAGAGCTACATACTACATTTATATTCAAAGTTTAATTTGAAGACAGTAACTTCCTCCGAACAATTTGTATCCACTTATAAGCCTACACGGAGTCACATCACAGAACACGACCGTCGACTTTTACACCGAAATGAAAACCTCATACTTATTGATAATTGTAGTTTTTAGACATCTTATTAATTTAACAGCAAAATACAGGCCTATGGTTTCATTTCTGTGTATCTGTTCACCTTACTATGTAAAGTAAAACAATATGGCAGTCGAGCGATATGCAGTTGAGTCCCGATAATCCAGTCTAAACAGACGACGAATGACGGTCGGGTAATCGAAAATGTCAGATAATATGAAAGATCACTTAAAACACGAGTGAAAACATAAACGTAGTGTATAACTCAAAAAAACTAGAAAAAATACAAGGCGTCAAATTAAGAATCTCACAAACAAAAATAGCATTTAACATGAAGTACATTTGTAAAAAAAGAGCTTCTTTTTCAGAAATCAGTAATTGGCGCCTGATCCTAAATCCATTTCTTTGCGGCAAGATCATAACAGCGTCTGAATAGCAGTGCGTCAGTAACGAATAGCAACTCAGTACTTAAAACGTAGAAGCTGCATGGTGGAGGAGTGCCATTAATTCTGCTACATACTGAGTCGACTGTCGATAAAATGGAGCGTTCCGACACGACACGACACGACACGTCAGATGCCGCGAAATGAACGTCAAATAACCGAAGGACGGATAATCGGGTCTCTCATTGTCATAATTTTTATAAACGGAGATTATTAACAAATATAGGGGTAAGTACAAACTCCGTATAAACCATTTCAAATACTGTCAAAAATGTTACTCTGAAGGGTCATAATGATGCCGCTTTAACTTCAGTATTGGTGTTCTATGGTCCGCAGTGGCCGCGTGGGCCTTGTGCCGCTTGGTCGCTGGGACCGTGGGTTCGAATCCCACTCAAGCCATGGATGTTTGTCTGTGTTGTGCTGTCCTGTGTTCAGGTAGAGGCCTTGCGACGGGCCGATTCCTCGTCCAAGGAGTCCATAGATCAAGCCAACGAAAAGTTGAGACCCGCAGTGCTCAGGCACTTGAAGAACGGGTCGTCCCAGTATCCCAGTATTGGTGCTCTATATTTGACCCATCGTTTATTATTCTAAAAAAGGAAGCTGCCGTCTTCAGGTGAATTTTTCCTTTTCTTTTGTATCCGATAGAAGGGGCTATTCCCAATCTCTGGACCTCTCTGGGACTTGTCCTGGGTACTACAGTATTTGTTAAGGCGGCAATGAAGCTTTTGTTTGCAAATGGCGAGTGAGAATGAGAATAAGCTGTCACTTTGTTCGACTTGTCTTTTTCAACAAGCGGAAAACGTTGCTGTTAGTAGCGATTCGCCTCTGCGTTGTGCACGTAAGTTATACTTGGTTGTTTGTCGACTAAAATAAGTACTGATGAAGATTGTTTCATTTGTGGAGGAAATGTCTGGCGAGTAGAACTTTTGTCTGCCCGGTGAAGTCGGCCAAAATTTGTTGACTTCGTTAATAAGGCCACTGTAGAGAGTAAAATTGTTTTCCTAATATTTCGTTAAATATTCTCGATATAAAATACTTTTTATAAAATTAGTATATCTAATTGATGTCTTATGTGCCTATTGTCTGAAAAGCCGTATTAAGTATAATAATGCTTTTTGATTTGTGCTTTATACATAACACGTCTTACTGGACCACTTTGTAACTTTTGTTGCATACTCCAAAACCAATCCGTTTTGTACTTTTGTAGATAAAAATTGAGTAACGGCAGATAGGACCTTGGAATTATAAGCATAATTTTTTACTTTATGCAAATAACACAGAAATTTATCAGAAACAATGAAGCACGACTTTACAATATGATTTTCAAAAGAAATTCTATAATATACGGTACTTCTTGAAAATTAATACACAAAATAAGTATAGATTTTCTTATTTTCGTCAAATTTCTGTTGAGGAATTACATCGCCGATGATGTGGAATTTACAGTATGCGAAATTTGTTACGAGGGCTTGGAAAGTCAAAACTTAGTGAATTTACCTGGAATTCATTCGGAAGCAAATGCTTTTGAATATTCATTTCAGAATGTTATAGAGGAACGAAAACATAGCTTCCATTATGCTTGTTCTTCCATCTCTACGCCGCTGGGTGAACTGAAATCTTCCAAAGATAAGGCAGTTTTTCTCAAACTCAGAACAATAACTCCACACATGCAGAATACGAGACATGCAAGTTATAGAACCATATAAAAATAAAAATTTCATTAATTATTAAATAGTAATATTACTTGACAATAACCTGTTATTTAAAATCGAATAATGACATATAAAATTTATAAAGGTGTTTTTACTTAGTACTTATAATACATGCGTTGTTACATTTCCAGAATACGATGAGGCAGGAAGTGGTAAAAATGTCTGTAATTCTGGGTTGGTACCACTTCAGTTTCTTTTTAGTTTCGTAATGAGATGACACGAGACATGTGAGTGGGACGTCTCGTATAAATCCTCATAATCCGGAACCATCCGTCAGTGTAACTTCACATGACAGTTCGTTTTAACACTCGTGACGGTACTGCACTCGATATTACAAACCTATATGTCGTCTTGCAACTTCGAAGCCCGGACACATTTATTACAGGTCCATATCTCGTTTCCTTGTATAACAGAATCTGAAACCGAGGGCTTAGGACACACGACCCTTTCATCCGAGAGCGTCTGTCTGCTTTTATAATTTCGAATTACTGCTGTATCTTCGTTGACAACGTTAAGACATTTGGGAACGACGGAATAAAATGAAAATTGGAATATGTGAATTGGATTCACCTTTTTTAGAATGCTGGACTGCTTGTGGGGTCTTGAAAACAAGGTAATGTGTCTTCGGGTTGCACGCAGAAAATTTGACTAGCTGGGGCCAAAAACTCAACTCTTCTCATAACAAAAATAATAGCAAATCTCACATTAAATTGCAAACGTATATGATCCTTAACGAGTTACTTTTATGAAATTGAAACTCAGATTATTCAGAAATATTCTCAATCAAGTAAGAATTAAAATTGTATTACAATTTTACATCTTGAGGATTCCGATCCGTTAAACCAGAGAATATTTTTGTCCATTCACCATCAGATACAAAGCGAACGTAAGAATAATTGTACACACTATCACTAACGATGCGTGGTTGGATGCTATGTCTCTATGGAACTACTGGGCACAATCACATAAACCATATATTAACTATTAATAATTCATGACACACTTACGCTGCATATTTCGGCTAATCTAATCGTCAAACGTAACATAGTAACACACATTTAAGCTATTAAGTTTAAGTTAACAAATAAATCAATCATGTTTTAAATTGAAATGTTCGTAATTGTAGACTATCTGTAAGATATAGCACACCGTAATATTTAGTACCTTATGTTAAGGTGGCATTTCAAAGAATGTTCTAAATTTACGCCCAGTGCATACATTACTAGTAACTTGGATAATAGTTGGGCTTCATCTCTGAGTTGGCACTTCGCTGAGAAGTGGTTAATGAATTATATCGGTTTGAAAATAAGGCTATTCATAAATCTGACTAGTAGGAATATTTTAATTTCATCTCCAAATTTAGCCGACGCCAAATCTTGCTACAAACGCTTGAGTGTTTGCGTTTTGAGATTTTCATGTCGAAGCATATATGAATTGTGGCCATTAGATTGACGGATCACATTCCAGAAAAAGAAATTATAATCTATAGCTGAGCATCCAGATATAGTAGCATTACAATTATTGATTTAATATATTTCTGACACATTCATCACTTACCTTTCTCAGGTGGAATATTGGGTTCTGTGGTACTCGTAGTTGCATAATGTGTTGAAGGTTGAGGAATACCTGTAAAAATAAATGTTTTTTACAAATGCGGGTGATGGCCATTTATCCTTCAATACGTTTAGTCGCCATGAAATATTTAACATTTCATACGATGACGTATTGTTTCGACAAAACCACTGCCAGATTTTTATTTATAAATCAGAAAATAAATTATTTGCTTCCCAGATCAAAAATTCATATGGTTTCTCTTTTCCTCGAAACATGGCTAATAAATATGAGCAATCAATGTCTAGATGTCGCCCTCGGTGGATTAGTGGTTAGAGTGCTCGCCACTGGACCCAAGGTTCGCGGGTTGACTCCCGGCCGATGGATTTTGAAGGGTGGTAAAAATCCGTAGCACATCTTCCTTCGTCATGTAAAAGAACCTTACGAGCATGATACGAGATGTTTCGTAAGCAAAATTCAGAGGCCATTTCTCGCCCATTTCTCTCCTGGTTCTCTACTAGATGGCTCTAGTAGGCAAATCGGGATTGAGTAGAAATTGTGCAAAGTCTGGGGGCTGGTCACTCACTACTCATAAATGCACACTCCAAGACCAAGAAATCTGTGAGAAAGGAGGCGGCGAAAACCCACAATTGGGTTGTAGAGCTAAGAAACAATAAAAATGTCTAGATACTGTCATGTTAATTTCGTCGTAACGTGTTTGACTTCAGAACCGAATAGAATAAGAATATTCAAGTGATTCAAGTGGCGGTCCGCGGGCCATATCCGGACAGATATTACTTGTAACCAACCAGCAACATTACTTATTAGTGTGTTACTAGCTGTTACAAGCGAATTTACTTTCTTCGAATCCAATGTTTAAAAAAATATCGATTCTTATATGGTCTGCTATTTTACATAAAAATGTCACACATTTTATTGACTTTAAAATTCTACTGTAAAACGTAAGTTTTCCAGGTAAGAATTATCATTCATAAGCTGTTGAAAGGGCAGATTTAAAATAATATATAACTCTGTAACAATCTGTGTACATTTCATTACTTAATTTTTACCCGATGTAAGATAAAAGTTAGACCGCCCAGGTATAGGTAATATTTAACAACTGAAAGAAACATGGAAACATGTTACAGTTTAAATTTAAAACAAAAATTATTTCAAAACTCAGCCTTTCTTACGTAGTAACAACTTCTGAAACACACGGTAAAATAAATTCATCTAGTTCTAATAGTACTTTTAGGTCCTGCTTCTTTCCCTGCTATAAGTGTGGCTTCTCCCATTGCAACATCAATTTAAGGTTTTTGTGGTGTTGCAATGATAGTAACAAATCCTCAGGCATTACAACAGCGGAAATCTTTTGCTCAGGTGAATAGCTATTTGCTACTCATTAATATTTAGTAAAATATAAATTAATTCGTTCCATAAGTCAGTAGTCAAGAAATCAGATTAAAATTCACAATTTTGAGAGACAATATTATTTTAAGCCTATAGTGGATTAGGCAGAGAAGACGAGTGTTAGGAATTAGGCAGTAGGAAAATACGGCGTCAAGCCAGGATTTTCTCCATCTCTTCAGTTCGTCAAGAGCAGTTTCTTCTGTCAGATGAAATTGCTTCATCTGTTCCGCAGACTGGCTCTCGAGAAAACTCGCGATTGTATCAAGTGGCCGCCCAATGCCCGGAAAGCGTAAACAGTATTCTTTGTCAACATACGTTGACGGGTGTCACTCTCAGGTGTACCGAAATCAAGCAGCCATGATGGATCACAACCAAACGCCTAACAAACACTGATATTGATTTTCTGTTGGAATTCTTAGTGAAGTTCATGTCGCGCTTTCGTCTTAGAATACTTCCGAAACTAACAACAAATTAATTAAATTATACTCCACAAATTAAAATGTAGTGCGTGCTACCGAATTATTACGGAAGTGAAATCGTAAGGTAATATAAAGGGAATACTCGAAACATTTATTTAATATTGCAAAACCTAATAATTATTTCTCACCTAAAGTTCTTAATTTTCATCTTGTATTTCGCTGACAAAATACTTTCGAAAAGACATGTAAGTGTCAGATTCTCTTTAACTTAAAAGTTTCAATCTTACGTAATTTTAAATGGTACAAATCAGAAATAAAATTTATTAATTCCTTCAGTTAATCAAACGACGATTTCAAAATCAGTAAGGCTTCGAGGAAAATAATCACATTATATCTTTTTGCATTAATCTTTGATCAACAACACCAAAGTTGCTCACTGTGTGATACGTATTTAACACGCACAAAGTGAAGATGAACTGAATAAATTTCTGTACTATATTAAATTTATTTAAATTGTATATTAGTGGTAGAGATTGGGATTAAATAGGAATTATTTGATAATATCCATGTGTGCTAGCCACTATACCACTGGATATATATGCTGTATAGGTTTAAATATTTCATAAAAGTGTAAGGCTCTATTCTAGCAAATCCATATCTTCAATATCATATCCTGTCCTGAGTGAATGTTCCAACATACCCATAATACATTTCTAGGTTTAAAAATAGTCTTTATTAGTTGTTTGTCAAATGAGCGAACGTTATGACAAATTACAATAGTGTTAAGAAAACTACGGTAACCCACAAATAGTTTCTTACTAGGAAACATTGTTCACAATACAAAATACAATTTGGCTTTTTTTAGTTTTCATAGCAGTAGTTGCAGGAAGGCCTATTTTATGTAAGGAGCAATACAAATCCATCTATTGCAATTCGCTGAATGCGCTGCTTGGAAGATGAATCGTCACTAAACTTGAATTCAAAAGATGCTGTCTGTGTGATAAATGGGAGAGCCACTTGGTAAAAGCACAAGGATTATTGATCTGGAGCAGAGGGGCTTAGCTCACTTTTTGAAACTGTGACTGATTGCCTTTCTGTATCGGCAAGTGTGTAGCCCACTTGGAAACCCCGTCAGTGAGCGAGAACCCAGCTTATCCTCGTATTACATATCTGATGATAGGAAAACATATTCCAGCAAAAACGTGTTGTGGTTCTCCCCAAAACTCTCTCATTATAAATGCAAAGGATGCAGACGCTGATAGTCAATCAACTACTCAATATATTTCCCGAAATTTGTAGAATCCAATGGTTTATTACCGTGTTACTGGGCATCGCAGTGGAGTGATTAACTCTCCTGCTTTATATTCGGCAGGTCTCGGGTTCAAATCTCGGCCCAGAGACCGACTAACCTGACTGAGGTTTTTTCATGGTTTTCCTCAGACTCTCCAGGGTCCTAATAGTACCTCAAATTAGGTCACGACCGCTTCCTTCCACATCCATTCCAATTCATTACTCGCCGTTATCCCCTCATCCGATGTTATATGGTCTACATCAAAGGTTCCCAAGGTGTGGGACGCGCCCCCCTGGGGGACGCGAGTGGTTTTCTGGTGGGGGGGTGTTTGTATGAAAAACGTTTTTAACGAAATATGGGGAAACATTTTTAACATCTTTCGATTGGCTGAGGCAGTTCAGCAGTGGCAGCCATCAAAACAAAGTATCGTTCTACGATGAACCTGAAAAACGACCTTAGAGCGGCCATTTCAAAACTTCAACGTCGGTATGATAAATTATGTTCACAGAAGGAATCACATCCATCCCACTAATCCAGGTATGAAGCGTATATTTATTACAGTTTTTTAAATTAAATGCATTGAATAATATATACTAAATTATAAAAAATGTATACTCATAGCTAAATTTTATGTAAAATCTGTTTGCTTGCACTTGTTCTGGAAAGGGGGCGTGAAATTTATGAAATGTTTTAAGGGGGGCGCAAAGTATAAAAGTCTGGGAACCTCTGTTCTAGATATTATAAGCGTCGTTAAATTAATTATAAATATTACAGTGTTTATGTAGGCAAGTCTCAGGTACTTTGTACATTCTGTATTAAGTTGGTTCATTAGTGTGATTTGTTAGCCCTTAAGCCCAGAACCCCGACCCATTGTGGCTGTCCACGACTGAAATACATTCTCATATCTAGACCCCTTCCACACCTGCAACCCGAAGATGCAGTAGAGGCAAGAGATAACATTATTAATGTTGCTACAAACACGTATAAGCCATACAACACGTATTTATAGGCCACATATTATTTAAAACTGTATGGAAATTGCATATAAGGCATTATCATCTCAATGTATTTACATGTGGTAAAAAAGTTCTTATTAAAAGACTTATAGTTTCTCAGGTGATTAAGAAATTCGCCGCCTTTTATAGACCTCGAAGCACACATCGTTATTATAATAATGCTAAGACCTGGACTGAGATAGTAAAATCTAATCCACACAATTATACCTACTTCCTTAAGAACCGTTTTAATATTAAATTAAAATCTTAAGGTTTTCCAACTGCAATTTGTTCGCAATTTTCATCTCTCGTATGTGTAATAAGCCTGCATTCCTTCCGATTTGTTTTAATTAATAACATTTTATTAATGGTAAAATTATCAATCTCATCGTTAAATAATTTCCTCTTTCCACTTTTGACTTGTATTTCTTTAGGTGCGTATATTTTTCCAACAAATTGTCTTAAACATCTTTAATTATACGAAGGGATAAATTGGATCACGTTTTTTATTTATTTATGTTGTCAAAACGAAAGATGTATAAGATTTGTACGGAAAATTCTAGTAATATATTGCTTTATGATGGGCAAGACGTAAATTTACGAGCATGGCTCTTTGAAACGAAACAGAGGCCTGCGAACCGAGCTAGTAGTCACCCTGTTCGACATACAAATGCATCCCTTTTCCTTCTCAACCCTTATTCGTCTTCAAAAGGCGCATCCTGCTTCATCACTCTAAATCCATTAGCTGTGGACAGGCCGTGATTCCCCAGCGACACTCTGCATTGGTTCCCACCCTTTCATGAAACTTCCTATTTTTCCCTTAAAAGCCAAGTACTACGAAGTACTTGGTCATAAGCATGACAAACCTATTTTGTTATGAAGATTTCTGTCTTCTGGATTCTTGCGCTGTGTGATCTGGTCGATGTTAATCGACGTTTCAGAGGTCATACTGCCTCCGTC